TTTGAAATTTGATGACAATGACTGGACGCAACATCAGTGGTGGAAGTTCAGGAAATTTACTACCATCATAATACAAAAGAATACAATCTAAACAACGACAGAACTAAGAAAAATACTAAATTAATAATTTGTTGTGGTGATTTTGCATTTCGAGATAATTTTTTTAATCTTGTCTCGACATCAACTCGTATTTGTGAATAAGGTGACATGAGAAGTAGCGTTTACCTGATAGCAAATCTATAAGCAGTTAACTTTGCAATCACCTAATATAGGCAAGCTAGACTCTATTCTTTTATTTTATGAATCCTCATTGTGCTAATTCAGATAAAGAGAGGTGCATCTTCTTCTGGACACAGGAAGGATGGCAAAACACTGGAGCAAGCAAGCATTTGCAAGAACCGGGAAATAAAATTCGTTGTCCCACGGAATGGCACGGTAGTAAAATGGCAGCGAAAGCGAACGACTGAAATCGGAGGCGATCAATAGGGCTAAATGCAACGGAGACATATGATGGACAATGGGGGAGGGGATTCTGTCGTGGAAGACAACGGCGATGATGATCGCGGGAGAGATAGAAAAGAGAAGGGGGAAGGAAGGGGGGGGGGAAGAAAAGGGAGAAATGAAGTGATTTAGCGCTGAAGGTAGCTGGAAAAGTAAAAATTTATTCAATACTGGTGGACATCGCAGTCTGTTGGTCAGTCGGCAAAGCGTTTATACTCCGATGGAGTTCGCTGTTATGTGTGCAATTACATGCACTACGCGCCTATAGATGAGGTAGGACGCACATTTTTCACCTCTAATGAATGCAAAATATTTATTTGTTGATCAGAAATAAAATGAAAGTAAATATTTTATTTTTTACGTAGTAGATTATTCTGGACTGCACTGCGTGCCTACGGTGGATACCATTGTTGTGCAGTTGCGTACATAAATGATCGACCTGTTCAACTGTGGAAACTTTGCAGTTCTGCAACAAAGAACAATATACTAAGACCTAGTCCTTTGAAAACTATCTAAAATGATTATTGGAATGATAGAATAACTAAAAATTGAAACAGTAAGATGCAGCGTCGCTTGCCGAACGTGCCACTCAAGAACAAGTGATGCGGATTTTGCGAGCGCAAAAGTGTAAAAGAGAGAAGACAGGGCGAGAACGAACGAGCGAGAACGAGAACGCCTGGCAAAGTGCACCCATGGGGTTCGGCGTGTAATGACTTAACGAAAACTTCAATGAAAACTACAAATTTGCACAGCGTTGAAGAAAATGGGTGTACGAGTCCGAGTGTCGTCACCAGTACGAAAATGTAAGTGCAGATGTAATGGGAAACTCAGCAAATATGCAGCGCATTTTGTAACGGCTATAGCCAATTGAAGCTACGTAACCATACTAGCAGCTGCAGCTTCTTCTTGTAGGGCAAAACTCGTGATCGAATTAGAATCTGTTGTGCAAAATAATTTTAAAAAAGTGTTTTTTCGTTAAAATCGCCAAGAAAGCAGTCCCAAAAATTAAGGATCTGAGTTGAACGTCATACGTACTTTAAAAATCAACGCAAAAAATTTTTTTTGAAATAGTTCGCTGTAATACCCGGCCTTTAACACGTTGACGATCAAGCAAACTTTCAGTTGTCTTCCTTCTGGAACCAAGATCTTTCATGAACCAGTCAACAAAAGCCATACGCTAACATTTACAGTACCTACAGTAGCTCCAAAAGGCTTAAAAAAAAGATGGAGGTCATTTCCAGATGCAAAAAGGATAACTTTTGAAGTAAATTTATCATAAGATAATCGTCATTTTACGAAGTACAGCCCTTGACACACCATGGGTGTTATGCGTCCGTCAAGTGTATGTGTTTAGTAATAATCATCAGCACCTAAAATATCAGAAAGGAATAAACTTCGTTTAGCATTCATTATGCGATTGTCAAAGGGCTAAGAAGAGTGGTAAAACCGTTCCCCGGTCGAAATCTGGGGCAAAAGTGACAGGGAGTAGATACGAGATTATAAGATCAAGATTGTACGGATTTTTCCCAATACGGCCAAGAATTGGGATTAATTCTCAAGTGTTAATAACCATGAGCTTCGAAGAGCGAAGATGTCACTTATGCTTCCAAACGTGGCGGGTGCACATCTAATATTCCGTTAAAAGAAGAGAGAAGTCTCGAAAGTTGTCGTATTGCGCGCGGCATGCAAATGAGAGTGAAGATTTGAAAAAAAAATGGACGTGAGTGAATTTGTTTAGAGATCCAGTAGACAGCAGCAGTAATTTTAGATGCAATTTAATGAGAATACTCTAGCGATTTGATTACGACATAGTTCTGATATCCCAGAAATAGGGCACTAATTAACTGTTGTGAGGCTGCTTACATATAGAGCATAATTATTGAAACTATAGGCTGATCGTTCCGAAATATCAATGTCTACGCCGTTCACGTATAGTTGATAAAGGGCATTTTAAAAATCGTGACGATGGAGCGACCGCGCGCGACACGCACGCCACTCCCGTAAGTCGCATTTTCCTAGTTTTCGTCTCTCGTCGAATGGTTTTTTGCTTACGTATGATAATATTTAGACACTGGAAGTCACTGAGCTGAATATTGAGGTGATGCCTTCTTGTATGAGCGTTTTATGCTCCTCTGAGCGCAAAGTCCGTAGTAAAAGCCATCGTCACGATTTTACAAGTGAACTATATAAGGGTTGATACAATGCAGCTGCGGTGTCAACAACACACTTGCGCAGAAACTGCTTTGCTAAAGGTGCCGACAACGCTTGCGCGTAAAAAATGCCCATCACGCGCAAAATCCCGAGTATTGCGTCCATGTCCATTTTCTACGCGTAGACAGTGTATAGTCAGTAGCGCAAGAACGCTATCACTCATCAAATCCATTGAACTATAGAGCAACTCAAACACCTACGCACAGACTATAGAGTGTTGTCAATTGGTCAAAAGTAATTAGAATGAACTGCTATTAAATGCTAAATGCGAAATCCCTGACATTTCAAAAAATGTGCGTTCGCAGTCATGTTGGAACGCAATCACCACCGATTTGCATAAATACGTTGGTCGTATCAAAATTCAGGGCCGAACAATTCACCGCCGCTTTTTCCAGCATGGTGAACACGATTATACATGTTTGATAACGCATAATCAAAAAAAAAAACGAAATTGTATTTCGTTTGCTTAGCTAAAAGCCAAAAAAAATTCTTGGGCGACACACTACGAAACTAGTTGAATAGATCATGCATAGCAGGAATTTCTCACAAGTAGCGGTAAGCTTCTAATCAAATTTGGAACTGAGGAGCCAGTTACATGCTTATGTTTCTGGAAAGCTTTGCAAGCAATTGGCAAAATTATCATGCCAACTTCAATATTTCAATCCTTCATCTATTTAATGAAAATGGAGATGCGAGAACTGGAATAAATGTAAAAAGTTACTCAACTCTCCTAATTAAACGACTCTGAGGAGCTTTCTAGCAAACTTTTTAGTGCAATCATTTTATGTTTTTGTTTTTTCTTCACATCAGACCGAAATCAGCCCTATCTTGTTGTTGTTATCAAATTAGCAACAAAGTGCAAGTAAATAAATTTTCAACACGATTCAGTCGAAAATGTGGTAATGAAACACAAATGCGGTTTGGCGTGCTATTTGGTACATGAGATCCATGATATCAAAGAATCTAATAGTGGTGGAGAGAGGAAACCAGGAGGGTGAGGTCGATTGGAGCGATCTTAAGCTACAAAATTGTGCAAATGGAGCAGCTACTTATAGAATATTGAACGATTTTTTTGTTTTATGGAAGTTCAAACTGGCTTTGCATGCGGCATCTTGCAGATAATTTTGGAAAATATCAAAAAAGTCATATCCATATTTCAAAAAGGCCTTTGTCACCCGTTCCAACGGGAAGTCGCGATTGCACGAGTATCAAATTGCGGAATTGTTTAGATCCGGACAGTGAGGGAGCATTGAGAGCAGTGACTAACGAAACGATTGTAAAAAAGCATGACGGTCTGATGGTCACGCACGTCGAAGCTTGCTCAAGATTCGACATAGGGACCGGCCATACTATTTCTGTGATTCCTGGGATTCCCCTAACAATGTATATTGCGGAAAAACAGTGTGTACTGAAACTCGCAATACGCTCTGCAGTGCTGCACTTCGAATCGGGAATCACTAGAATTGCAGGAATTACAGGAGTCGCAGAAATCATGTCGTGAAATAGTATGGCCGGTCCCATAGATTGACTTTTACCGTATACCTAAACCACCATGCTACTGTACTGCAGTGGCACTGACCTTTACATACATAAAGGCATGTCGGTGTCTCTAGCGTTTCAAAAACGAAAAAAAGCTCAAAAACTTTTCTAAATTCTTCTTTGTATGTACATCTGTAGAAATGGATACAGAAAGCTTGAGAATGATTTTTGAATTTTTTAGGACGTTTCCTTGTAGACTGTCGATGACTGCAAAGATGGCGCATACTGACATATGAACCGCTCAAATAAACACCTGTAATGTGTCATCTCCCCATAGTTGCTAACACTATAGACTATGCCCTGTCTGATTATCATTTTGTCCGATTTTTCGCCATATGCAAGAATGCCCACTCTTTACAAGGGAACCAAACGGATTTTCGCAACAAAATGAATGTTTCAAGCATAGACCGCGAAAGCGAAGGTAACGATGAATAAGCCTTTTGACCCTGCTCACATGCTGTGAACACGAGATCTTCCAAAAACCTCTGAGAATCTTTAGAATTAAAATGAAAAGTGTAACAGAAGTTATCCGACAACGTAATATCTCTTTCGTAAAATCTATCCTCCAGGAAACTCAGAGTGGGGAGGAAATCGTGGATACTTTAAGAATACCCAGCAGAAACTCTGACAGATCAAACTATTTGTGAGCTGATAGCACCACATAAAACACACCGAAGGCGCAATTAGAGGAACGAATAAGGAGAGCATATAGCAAGAATAATTTACACAAACTGAGAATGAATACTCACCCTCCGCCACCGGAGTTGTTCGCCTTCGGTGCTTCGAAGCCATAGGAGTAGGCCGGATTGTTGTCCGCCAGGACGACAGTCGGTGATCGGTGTACTGTCGAGTGGTGCATCAACTCCGCGTCAAAATCATCTGTAAAATTGAAAGTTGGGATTTCCAACGTTGGAAAAGAGTCGCCCATGATCGATAGCATTTGTTCAAACAATAATCCGACTATTTTGACGATTGTGTATGCCGACGAGATGAATACGACTGAAAAAAGAACGACGAAGCTAAACGTAGAAGTAAAACATTTTCTCATATATCAAGTGGTTCGCTGGGAAAAAACCAAGATTTCTTTCCTGAAAATTTATCCATTTTCAGTTTTTTTTTTCGCATGACTGGAAGTCGATGTTGAATGTTTTATTGAGTTGAACCTCGTTTTTCTGGAAGCACTGTTAATTTTGCTGTGCTGCTCGTTTCGCTATTTACTTTTCCCCGTCCCCTCACCAAAAAAAACAGAGCCCGATTTTTGACGTTTTCTAGTCATAAAGAAGACACGCAGCACAAAGTCCAATTGCGATCTGCATTAGCTACTCTGTAGCTCAAAAAATTCACACACAATGGAAAAGTGCACAATCTGCGGCGATAGCTTCAGCCTTCAGAAGATTTTCGATAAAAAATGCTATTTTTTGCACTAGTGTAGTGCTTTGATTATAGCTATACTAGAGTTAGCGGAAAATTGCAATATTAGGATTCAGAAAGACATAAAAGGAAGAATTTATTAGATGGGTCTATTATGCGAAACTGCTGCGCCTAGAAGACGTTACACTAACAATATTATGAATCATCGTTTGTTAGCATTTACATATTCAGTGCGCTTCTTTCCAAGGATGACTAGGTCATTACACAAAGTGCTAAAATACATATAAGGTTATTTCGTGAGTTTGCATAGAAAATTTCAAAAAATCCTATTGTCTAGGGTTTCCAACGAATTTGTTCAATTGATATAGCCCAGAATTCATGCACTTCCTAAAAGTGCTTGAGACAAATGGTTACTTCGAGCTCAAAAATTACAAGATGATAGGAACAATCTCTCAGATTTTTTCGTTTTTGATTGTGTGATCAAAAGTGCTGGGCTCAACAAGATTAGTTTTAGTTTAGAGTGTTCAACATTAAAACAGAATATTTGTCATGCATTACAAAAATACAAAATTCAGATCAGAACGCTCCTCCAACAAGCTTGAAGGAATTTTTAGAAATTTTGTGCGAGACCAATGGGCTAGTTCCTCAATCCATGTGTTAAAGAAAATGAGCATCAACATATGAATATAAGAAGCTGTAGAAATCTTTCTTCATTTTATCATCAGAAGCCAGTCCCAATACACCAAACCTATGACATCCCTTTAGCTTCCCAGCATCTGCGGTTTCGTATTTACCTTTGCAATTATCGAAACATCCGCAAATCAATTTCCGAAAAAGCAAACTTTACACTACACACTTCTTCCAGATTTCTTCTTCTGTTTCCTCTCTTTTATAAACTCCCAAAATCTTTTCTTCAAGATTTTTTTCAAAATTTTTCTAGACCCTGGTTTATAAACTGGCTCATGATTAGCCTAATACTTCTTTGGATTGTAAAGTAATGAAACTTCTAGTTTATCGCCATGCCCTATTGTTCATGCCTTGTCTACGGAAAAATGAAATTGTTCTTAGAAAAGCTACTAAAGTAAAATCCTAGAGCTGAAAGTGAATCGAACAACGGCTATATAAGAAAACAGGTTTTCTATTGCGTCTTGAATGTACTAGGACAGACCACAAGACCTGCAGAAAACAACGGATTAAAACTGACATAAATTTGAATGTTCTAGAAAGATGTTCAAAACACTAGAAATGTTGCATGAAAAGAAACAGCTTTTGCAATAGCAAGTGTTTCGGGTATGAGAGGTATATGGAAATATGTATAACGAGCAGCGAAATCACTGACAGATGTAGAAATCGATTGTGAAATTAGATAAACTTGTGAGCAGAAGTGAGAAAAATTTCTCAGCAGAAAATGTGGAAGTACAATGGCTGTTACACCACACAGGCGCGTGAACTGAAAGTTGTGGATGCTGCAGACTGCTAGCAGATTTCGCGAAATTCAAAGTGACAGATTCAGTGATTGAAACGCAAAAAGAGTGAGTTTCAGCGCAAATTGCCCTCGTTTGAAATGACTGATTAGATGTTTTGTATTTCGATGCTTCTTTGGGATAGATGCATCAAAAACCAAAAAACGAAGGAAGAGGACGTCAGAGTGGGAACAAACCGCATATTTTATAGAACCGCTCATCGAAAGCAACTATACGGTTTGATTGTTTGAATTTTGCAGCATGAAAAACTTGCTCAATTTAAATGAATCGAGAAGAATGGAAAAAATTTTGAGAGAACTGGTGTGCTTCTCCGTTTGAAAATATCTTGTTCGGTCACCACACCAGGTAACATGATTTAGTGATGGTCACAGCTGTTTTTGTAAACCATCATGTCGGGTTCTTCTGTTTCATAAAAATACTGTTAATCTTGGTGAAAATTCAAATAAAAGGTGAGAGGATGCACACAGTTTCGTCAAGCATCAAAAAAGAAAACACTACTTCCATGTTCAGCAATATTAGCATTCTGACTAACCATTCGGGACCAACTCAGACAATTGACTGGCACTTCCCAGAACGTTTGGGGATTCCGGTGAATCACCTGCGGAAGTTCCGTAAACGTGCTGCGGGAGTTCCGAAGAATGCGAACCGCAAAGCAGAAGAGAGCACTTAAAGGCAGTGGGTCAGCAGAATGGACCTTTCTGGTGGATTTTGATGGATTCAGGTAGTAGACCCCAAGTACAGCCCAAACCCCACCTGCCAATTCATGCGCTAAGTTTTGAAGAATGCGCTTTAAGACTCCACCAGCCCCGCTTATCCAATGGGAATGGGCGGGGCTGGTGGAGTTTCTAAGCGCATATTTCAGGACTTAGCGCATATTGGCAGGTAGGGTTTGAGCTACCATGTACTTGAAAGGTCTACTACGTAAATTCACCAAAATTTGAGAAGGGTCCGTTCTGCTGATCGACTGCCTTTAAGCAAGATTTGAACCTTACTCTAATGACTGTGAGACTCACTCACTATGCTCTGCACTAAGGGTGTCATGTTCAATTGTGCACTCTATTGATGAAGAGACAACATCGTAGGAGATATCACATTCAAAACTCTGCCGAACTAATGGGCAGGCCAAAGTGCTGCGGAACCGCTGGCATCCTTCTGAATTTCGGCAGCGCTTGTAACCTCTTGCGGAAATTCTCCTTTTCAACCAGTCTAACTGAAAATCCTGCGGAAGTTCCCATTCTCGAGATTTCCACTTTTGTATTAGTAAACAGTCCCAAGGAACCGCTGCAAGTATGGCTTGTCCTGTATAAGTTCCGGTGAATTCTGAGAATATTTCCAACATTCTATTGCAGTCCTCGTCGAAGTAATTCATATGTGGAAATGTGTAAGAATTCTTTTCTCATCAATACAGGGGTTCGTAAAAAAACTTATATTATAAAACAGGAAAGCAAATAACGCACAAATTCTATTACCAATAAAAACATAAGCGGAAAAATTTCTTGCGTGACAGTAATATGTAGGACGCATTCTCCATCCATAATGAACGGCATTAAAACCTCAGTGCGGAAAGCATTACAAGTCACTTTTTGGAGAGGGCGCGTAGAATATGCATAGACGATGCTCATGAATGACTGTCATTAGCACTCCTAGTACTCGAGACACAAGAGAGATAAAAGCTGCAGCAGTGCGAGCCACAGGATACTTGGTAACCATAGAGCAGTGCATACTATTGACCCATCAAAATTACCGCCTTTTATAGGCACATGAACACTCAAACAGTGGCACTTGAACTCCACTGCGAGGCAGCGAACACAGCACCAGGTGCTCAATAGCATGATATTTCAAGTACCTCGGAGGATAGAAAACGTAGGTTGGTTTCCGTATCCCAAGTCCATTCCGATATGATTTCATAGTGGACTCAGTGAATCAACCAATACGCGTCCTTCGATGGTGGTCACTTTGCAGAATAATTGTTTGTGCACAATTGTACGAGCTGCTACACTAGTATGGGTTCTTAAGCCTGCGGAGTGAACGCAGCTTAAATAAAAAAGGAAAAGTGGTTCACAATGGGTCAAAAGATGATGTCCGGAGGATGTAAGCTGTAAACGAGAAGCTCATTTCATGGAAATTTTTTTTTATATAAGACGTGGATCTAGAAAGTTGATACATAATACTCTCAAGGGAAGCATACTATCAAGGGGCTGACCTAGATGTAAAAAGGCATTGCTGCAACTTGAGTCGGTCATATTTAAATAGAGTTCCAATAGAAAAAGATTTTTACGGCTAGAAAACCAGAAATGATTTGAGGGCTACCCGCAATTACCTCACTTTTAGTGGGTTTTTGTTTATATTGTGCATTGGTTTTTTGTTTGTTTACCGCTAAGGGAATGCCTATGCAATGAACAAATAGGGTAAATAGGCAACTAAATGCATGAAAGTTTTTGTTTCAAACAAATATGAGGTGATTAAGAATCGAAGCAGGTAGGATTTCTCGAATCTTTTCACAAAATCGTAAATCTGACTGCAAACCATTCTGTTGCCATAAATTGGTTATACTCGAAAGTTGGCCGATGTACCCCTTATGAAACACTAGCTGGCTTACCCGGCTCCGCCGTATCCGGACCAAACTTGGCACACATACACTTCGGGCCCCGGCGGGTGTCACAGTCCACTTTTCGTTATCGATCGATGTCGATTTTACCGATTTTTATCGATTTTTTTGCAGAGTTCACCTACAGGGCTAGGAGTTGGCACAGGGGGGGGAAGTGAGCATGGGGATTCCGAATACAATATTAGTTTTCAGAATTATCGATTACTTTTATTGATTTTATCGATTTTTTGAAAATTTGAGCTAGGGGACTGGAATTTGGCACAGGGGTGTAATCGAGCATGCAGATTACGAATACAATATTAGTTTTCAAGATCGTCCATTACTTTTATCGATTTTATCGATTTGTTGAAAATTTGAGCTAGGGGACTGGAATTTGGCACAGGGGTGTAATCGAGCATGCTGATCACCCCCCTTGG